CTGCTTTGGTCACTTGTGCACTGAGGTGCTGAAGGCTGAGCAGGGTCTATTCTCACCTCTTTGTAGCATGTTGGGACCAGCCCACAAGCCTTCATTTCACAGAGTCCTGACTCAAAGCTAGTACACAGATGAACCTCTGCTTGTCATACAATACTTTACCTATCCATTCAAGTAGAAGCTAAATGAACACAGATTCAGTGATTTGAAGACTCCCAGCACTAGAAGACTCCCAAAGCTACCAGGGCTCAAGAAGGAATTGCATTTTCCATTTACACCCACCCAGGGGTTTGTGCCTTCTCTCTCTGATGAGTTACCATGCAAATTTTTCTAGGCCTCAAACGAGCCCTGAGGATGCTGTGAAACAGCTGCCCCTTTCCACCTTATTCCAGCAAGCCTGACTGAATCCTGACCTTGTGATTCCAACATTCTGGTGCTTTGGCCAGCAGGGAACATGCCATTTCAAGTGATGCTATTAAATTAGTGTGCCATTTCATCTAGGTGGTAGGAATAGTTATAGCATAAAGTAGGCAAAAAAAGATTTTCAAAGCAGTAGACAAGCCATGTGCATATTACATTAATCACCCACAGGTATGCAGGAAATTGTAACTTCTCCAGGTTCCCCACCAGGATATCTGTCCCTCCAGTGGGGTCAACAGGGTGAATCCTGCTGGAAGAATCACAGCTATTGGAAAATCCAGGTAGGGACAAACCAAGCCATTTTTCAGCTCCAGGCATCCCACTTGATGTACTTGGTGCAGCAGCCTGGCCTGGAACTTCTGGCTCAGTAGCTTCACATGAGGTAGATGCACCACCTGCTGTCTGTTCTGAAGCAAGTTACCCATGTCTATTACAACATCATTGAAGATGGTCATTACCAACAAAAGTTTCCTTCTTTAGAACCATTTTTTTGCCAGACATACTTTTGATTAAAGTCATCAAGAAAGACTTTGCATCTGAAAACTATGAAGCAAGATCAACTGAGGGACAGTTTAGTCAAAATGGTTCAGATTCTCACACAGAAGAGGAGAACTTCAGTTTAGTACCCAGCTCCTCTCAGGAGAAGGATCACACTGTTAAACTTTGGGAAACTCTCTCAAGTTATTTCTACTCCAACAGCTCCAGAAGCTAGCATCAAACAAAACTTTCAAAGAGGTGAAAATTCTGCCATGCAAAACTCCAGCCACCTGCTCAACACCACTTGTGGGTTAGCAGAAAGGAAAAGGTACGTCTTAAATTCTGTACCATTCCCCTTTCCTGGACAAGGCTGCAGCACTAACTGATCCAATCCAATGGAGCAAAGAGATAAGATTCCTACAAAAAGCCACAATACTAAGTCTTCTTAGGACATGGTGTCTTGTTCACACATGAAGGCAGAGGAGTCAGTGTGCTCTCCCGGCTGGCACAAATAAAACACGATACAGGAAAATCCCCCTCGTCCTAGAGATCAAGGGTCCTGTTCATGGGCAAGTGTTTTGTGTGCCAGGACCCAAAAATAATCAGGCATGCAGTAGCAAGGTCAGTGAGTAACAAGAGTACCCTTCCCAACTCCCAGGAATCCTCACAAGTTGGGGGTAGGCTGTTCACATTTCAGTATCAGGATACAGAGCCAGTTCTGCAATAGCCCTCACTTCCACGAGTGTGACAGGCTACCTGTGCAGTCTTTCATATTCTGCTAGCATGAAGTGTATCTGGGTCCTTATATTTCCAGGTCTTTAACTATTTTGTAAAGTTCATAGCTGTTCACTTACCTAAATGAATCATCTCAAACAACAAACCACAAAGCAATCTCCCCAGCCACTCTATAAAGCCATCCCTGCTTTCTTGAAAAAAACTCATGCACTCTCAAACACTGCAAATAGTGGGAAGAGCCCCAGGAACATCAGCAGTTGCAAGTGAAACATGGTATCAATAGGATTCTGCAACCCTGAAAGAGGAGAATCAGTAACAGAGTGGTAGCAATAAGCCACAGAATACACATCTACTAGAGCCTTTATCAATACCATTCCTAGGCATACACCTCCTTTGTAATGCCCATGCTGCTGCAAGGGCCAAGCCACCTTCACTTGACCATCAACAGATAATTCCTGACCCAGGTTTCAAACACTGTCCCTTACACAAGATGTTTTGTTTCTGTAGCCAGTATTATCCCCTCCTTGCTCCCTCCCCATTACCCACTTTTTAGCACCCTGCCTACCCAGGTCAGCCTTTTGCAGAAGTATCTGCATGAGAGTCCAGTGAGTACCCCCAGGGAGAGGGAGGACAACTGAACCAACATAACCTACAGCTAAAGAACCGCTGGAGTAGCTAAGAGTTCTGAGCTCTGAGGAGGAGCTTCACTCATTGGTCTCAGTTTACAGCAGTTTCTGTGTCATGTATGATCAACTTCTGTATCTTTATCTAAAGTTCCAGCCAGAGACAGCTCCAGACATAACGTAATGGCTTGATAGCAACATTAAATAGAAAAAAAAAATAACTTGCAGAGGCAACTCGTGAAGGTGCAATTCCCATCGTACGTTCCCCTGTGCCAGTGGCTCCTCCGCGCTCCAACCAGTGTTTGTTTGGGCCAGCGAAGGCGGCAGGAGCTGAAGTAACGCCCGCCCGGCCCGCGGCGGTGCCAGCGGCTGCCCCGGGCCCCGCGGGCACACGCAGCTCCCGAGGAGCCCGAGGGGGCCCCGGTGGGGCCGAAGCTGCGCGGGA